CCTTCTTCATCTCCATGACCCTCTCCTCCTTTCCCGTACTCTTCTTCGGCTTCTTTACTGTCTGCCTCTCCATGTCCCATCGCACCCTCACCGTTCTCGTAGTGTGCCGGCTGCTGACCTTTGACCTCGTCACCCATTGCAGCCTCATACCCTCCTTCATGATGATCTTCTTGGTCTGTATGCGATTCTTCTATTCGCATCTCCTCTTCTACAACGATTATTATTAATAACACCAATGAAAACCAACAATAATAAAAAATAACAATAATAAATACCAAATAAAAATAACAAACACAATAACAAAACAACACAAAAACTCACCCATATGATTATTTCCCTGCTGCCCCATCCCGTCGTGCTCACCACCACCCTTCATCAACTCGTATTCCGCATTCCCATCGCTATTATTACTCTCGGTTGTCGATTCGACATCCATTTTCAACGTTTACTCTGATTTCTGATATTATTTTCATCATTATATCATCGCCATCCATACAAATTAACATAATAATGACAATAATAATACTAACTATTAATATTACTATCACCCCGCGAAACACCTCAATAAAAACTCGAACGCACATCTAACCAAACGATAACAACAACAATAAATAAACACACACCAGACACGACACCACAAAATACTAAATAATAACACCTACAATAACAATAATAATAACTAAATCAATCATAATCAATAACACTACAATAATAACAACAATAAATAACAACTCTAATCACTAATAAATGTCCACACCACATCCCACCACCCAACCACACCACACCACCCTCTCCAATGAAACCTCCTATTCCTAAAACCAACCATCCACCACCCAGTTCTATGCAAAATACTAACACTAAATCATCCCAACCCAATCCACATCATCACCCAATTAACATCCCCACACCAAACCAAAATCTACGCACTCTCAACGAACAACCGAACAAATCATTCAAATAAATCAAAAACACGCCACATCTACTCAAATCCTATTATATCCCCTAAAAACTAACATAACTATACTTACTACTTACAACAGCAATAACAATAATACTAATATAAGACACACAACATCATAGTATTCAATAACTGCAAACAATAATAATAATAGTAAAACACAACTCCAAAAATAGTAAAGGTAATAGTAATAATAACTACAAAAACACACTAAATACTACATATATACTCAAAAATAGTAAGTAATACTTAAGTATACTTACTACTTACATCGCTAATTCAATAAAAGTAACAATAATAATCACAAAAACACTGAATTAACGCACCGACACGCAATCAATACCAACACCCCACACCCGCCTTCCTCACCAATTATATCCACTAAATCCCCATCCAAACCCACCGCACATCAATTAAATATCTCCAAACTCGTCAAAACAATGAAAAAAATCATAAAACACCCCAAAACCCGCGTAAAAACGACCTGAAATTCAAAAAAATACACCCCAAAATAACGGCTTCTTATTCACAACACGCACGCACGCCAACAAAATGGCTCCGCAAATTTGGCGCCTTGCCAACGGCGGCATTTCAAAATTCCGTTCGAGACCATTTTCAAATCTCTTACAGCCATAAACTACGCCCAAATTCAATTACCCTCAAAAAAATCGCTATTACCCCGTCTAAAACTCCAAAATTCTAAAATAAACCCTCATAAATCCACAATATCCACCCAAATCAATAAAAATAACCACCTAAATACCCTCCAAACCACCTAAAACCATCACACCA